AGCGTCCTACACCTTCCGGAAAGCGAGTTCAGCTTTCTCTCGTGGCCAACCCCTCGCATCTCGAGGCTGAAGACCCGGTCGTGTTAGGAAAGACCAGAGCTATTCAGCACTATAACAACGACGAGACGACGCACCGAACTGCCATGGGCGTCTTGTTACACGGCGATGCCGCTTTTGCCGCCCAAGGTATCGTATACGAATGTCTCGGCTTCCACTCTCTGCCGGCCTTCTCAACTGGTGGAACGATTCACATGGTCGTGAACAACCAGATTGGTTTCACAACTGACCCGCGTTTCGCCCGCTCCACTGCGTACTGTACCGATATCGCGAAAGCCATCGACGCCCCTGTCTTCCACGTAAATGCCGACGACGTCGAGGCTGTTAACTTTGTCTGTCAGCTAGCTGCGGACTGGCGCGCCGAGTTCCAGTCAGATGTTGTCATCGATCTCATCTGCTACCGTAAGCATGGTCACAACGAGACAGACCAGCCTTCCTTCACCCAGCCCTTGATGTACAAGCGCATTAGTGCGAAAGACCCCCAGATCAACGTGTATGTAGAAAAACTTCTGAAAGATGGTACATTCACCAAGGAAGATGTCGAAGAACACAAGCAATGGGTTTGGGGCATGTTGGAGGAAAGCTTCGCCAAGTCCAAGGACTACCAACCGACGTCGAAAGAGTGGACTACCTCTGCGTGGAACGGCTTCAAGTCGCCCAAGGAATTGGCTTCCGAGGTACTGCCGCATATGTCCACAAGCGTCGACAAGAAGACTTTGGAGCACATTGGTGAAGTCATTGGCTCTGCTCCCGAAGACTTCCATCTACATCGCAACCTGAAGCGTATTCTCCAGAACCGCACCAAGTCTGTTGTCGAAGGCAAGAACATCGATTGGTCAACCGCCGAAGCTCTTGCGTTTGGTTCGCTCGTCACTGAGGGCAATCATGTTCGTATATCTGGTCAGGACGTGGAGAGAGGTACCTTCTCTCAACGACATTCCGTTTTCCACGATCAAGAAAACGAAACCACATACACACCTCTGCAGAACGTCAGCAAGGATCAGGGCAAGTTTGTCATTTCAAACTCGTCCTTGAGTGAGTTTGGCGCTTTGGGTTTCGAATACGGTTATTCGTTGTCGTCTCCGAATGCATTGGTCATGTGGGAGGCTCAGTTCGGTGACTTTGCCAACAACGCCCAATGTATCATTGACCAGTTCATCGCCTCTGGCGAAGTCAAGTGGATGCAGCGAACTGGACTAGTCATGTCTCTTCCCCATGGTTACGATGGACAGGGCCCTGAGCATTCTTCTGGTCGCATGGAACGATATCTGCAGCTTTGCAACGAAGACCCGCGTGTGTTCCCGGTGCCAGAGAAGCTTGACCGCCAACACCAAGATTGCAACATGCAGATTGCTTACATGACGACTCCTGCGAACTTGTTCCACGTCCTTCGCCGACAGATGCACCGCCAATTCCGAAAGCGTAAGTTGTCCTTATAAGTTTCAGTATGAGTATCTGTGTTCGCTAACCTATATAGCTCTTATAATATTCTTCTCCAAGTCGCTCCTGCGACACCCCTTATGTCGTTCTGACATTGAGGACTTCACCGGTCCTGATGCTCATTTCAAGTGGATAATACCTGACTCCGAGCACGAAAATGGAAGCATCAAGTCTCCAGAGGAGATCGACCGCGTCATTTTGTGCACTGGTCAGGTATGGGCCGCCCTTCACAAGTATCGTGCCGACAACAAGATCGACAATGTGGCCCTCACTCGAATTGAGCAGCTCAACCCCTTCCCATGGGAACAATTAAGAGACAACCTCGACATGTACAAGAACGCCAAGACCATTGTCTGGGCTCAAGAGGAACCGCTTAACGCTGGTGCGTGGAGCTTCACGCAGCCGCGCATCGAGACCCTACTGAACCACACTCAAAACCACGACCGGAAGCACGTCATGTACGCTGGCCGAAACCCTTCCGCGTCGGTCGCCACTGGTTTGAAGGCTTCCCACAAGAAGGAAGAGGAGGACCTCCTGGAGATGGCGTTCTCTGTGACGCAAGACAAGCTAAAGGGCGAGTAAGAAGGAATAAGAAAAGAGCAAATGGAATTAAAGCATTAGCATGATAACGGGGCATAAACTATTTCATGCTTGTATTTTATCTTGTGTATAATGCGGCCTCGGGGATCACAACGAGGCTACATAGACGGGTGGTTTACTAATGGATTTTCCGAGTACCATTAATGCACTCCTTCGCATTGTTCCACTAGGTATCTTGAACCGGGTGCAAACATCAGACCATGAACCAACCTACCAAAGGTAATCATCTCTTAGCATTGCAGCAGGTACAGATGCATGTCATTTGCTTCCCGTGCGGAGAACAGGCTCGCATCGGACCGTACATACATGAGAGTCGGTAGCTGCTATACCGGATATCACGCCAAGATAACTGGGGTGATGATAAGCACCTTGTTTCCTGCCCTACCTGCTGCCAATAATCGTAACTTGCTTTATCTTCGAAATCATAAGCCTGTCAGCCCTGGTACCAACCAACAGGATCTGCAAAGATAGGTACTGGCCGCTAGAAGAATGCCCTTTAGTTGAAGTGTAATAAATATCAATGGCTCGACCATTGGTTTGAACGGGGATCCGCCCTCGGAGCTCTACAGAGCTTGGATAAGAGAGCATGGCCTAATAAAAGCGCAATAATATCATTTAACTAAAAGGCCGCGTCACAGCTCAATCTCTTCCAATGCCCCCGTAGCTATGGACTCGTTCACCTTCCGACAGCGCGGCCGGGCCATCAAGGACAAGACCCGGGCTCGGCTGACCGATAGACATAGCTGGAGACTGCCCAAGCAGACCAGCAGTATCGCGCCGCCTCACGTTTGGTCTAATGCCGGTACGCTTTTTAGTCGCCAAACGCTATATACTTACATAGGAGCTTGGCTAATAATGTCTTGTCCATGTTACAGATCAAGATCCCGTGCCGGAGGATAAGCGAACATGGAGCAAGTGGGCGTTCATTGGCTACTGGTACTCCGACCTAGTGACGATATCGACATGGACGGCGGCTAGCGCTATAATGACGACGGGCTTGACAGCTACCGATGCCGTTTTGATCGTTCTTGTTGCCGCTATAGTATGTGAAATCTAGTAGTTTGACGATGCCTCTTCCTTCACCTAAAAGCATGAGCTCGTTCACGGGGTTTCGCAATCCAAGATCATTTAAGTCATTACACAATTGAGAGTAGGTGCTGACCTCAGCTTCTACAGTGCAATGCGATTCCAACGGTCTTAAACGGCGCCATCGGTTCTGACCTCCATATCCCGTTTCCCATCGCTTGTCGAGCTAGCTACGGCTACTGGCTGAGCTACTTCTGCGTCGTTACGAGAGGCATCCTCGCGCTGTTCTGGTTCGGTGTACAAAGTGCCAATGGAGGAACTTGTGTCACAGCCATCCTTACAGCTATATGGCCGAGTTACGCTCATCTCCCCAATACGCTGCCAAAATCGGCCGGCACGACGAGCCAGGGGATGCTGAGCTACTTCATATACTGGTGTATACAGTTTCCTCTGCTCTTGATCCCCTCGCATAAGCTGCAGCACTTATTCTGGGTCAAGACTGTCCTAGTCACGCCTATGGCTCTGGCGATGGTCATCTGGATAACGGTGATTGCTGGTGGACAAGGCGATTTCTTCTACGCGCCAGCTACCGTCTCGGGGTCTAAAAGAGCGTGGCTTTGGTTGTCCAACTTGGTATGCAATACAATCCAAGTGAAGTATCATCCGCTAAACTGACCGATGCAACAGACAAGCGTGACAGGTGGTTACTCAACCCTCGCCGTCAACATCCCAGACTTCTCCCGATTCAGTAAAACCCGCGGCGCTCAGCTCTGGCAGCTTCCTGTCATCCCGATCTTCAAGACAATCGTCGGCGTCTTCGGCATCATCTCCGCCAGCGCCTCGAAAAAGGTGTACGGGACGGTATATTGGTCCCCGCTCGAAATAATCGGGCAATGGCAGGGCTCGCCAGGCGGCCGCGCTGCCGCCTTCTTCGCGGCGTCGATCTGGCTGCTGGCGCAGGTGTCCGTCAACATCAGCGCGAACAGCATCTCCTTCGCCAACGACATCACCACCGTGGCGCCGCAGTGGTTCAACATCCGGCGCGGCGTCGTGCTCGTCTCCTTCGTCGGCGGCTGGGCGCTGTGCCCCTGGATCATCATCTCCTCGGCCGCCGCCTTCCTCAATTTCATGAGCGCGTACGCCATCTTCATGGCGCCCATCGCCGGCATCCTGGCCTGCGACTACTGGCTCGTCAAGCGCCGCCGCTACGACGTGCCCGCGCTGTACGACCCCGACGGCATCTACCGCTACCGCTGCGGCGTCAACTGGCGCGCGCTCGTCACCACGCTCGTCGTCATCGTGCCCCTGCTCCCGGCGCTCGCCAAGAAGGTGACGCCCCAGAACGTCGCCATCAGCGAGGGGCTGGTCAACCTGTTCACGTTCAACTGGCTGTACGGCTTCTTCGTCGCGGTCTTCTTGTTTTACGGCTTGAACTACTTCTTCCCCGACAGGACGACGTTGATCCCGAATGTCGTGCCGGGCGATGCGCCCGTGCTGCGCGCGGTCGATGCGGATGTGGAGAGCGGCGTTTCTCAGGACGAGAAGATAAGGGGGGAGGCGAAGACGAGTTCGGAGCCGGCTTTTGCTAGGGAGATATGAGATAACATGAGCGGGTCATGTTTAAAAGTAGTTAAAAATGTCGGGCATAGTTCTGTAGGTAAAACGGAGCGATGAAAAATATTGCTCGGTTTTAGATATAAGTCATTATCTTGACAACTCTAATTACGCGATGTAAAGACCCTATTCAAGCATCTAAGTTGGACCCGGTGTGCTGCCACCTGCTCCATGAGGCTTCAGGGCAAGCTAGTCATAAGTTGATCTAGAAATCAGAGCAATCACTTATCACACAAATCGCAAAAAGGCACAAAAATGAAGTTCAGCTTCACTCCGATTCGAACAGAGGATCTCTAGATTATAAACCTAATGCGCTGCCACTGCGCCATGAAGCTCTCGAGTTTTGCCAGCCTTTATTCTCCTCTGCAATCAGCGATTGTGCATATCGTTATAAGTCACTGTTTGTCCGCTTCGCAGCTGCCCTCGTTCCACGAGCAGCCCTTCGGGCACGGATAGTCGGGGTCGTTCTGCCAGAAGAAATACGGATCCGTCTCGTTCGTCAGCACGCCGCCGATCAGCCTCGCCGCGTCCGGGAGGTCGTAGGACTGCCGGAACACCTCCTGCGACGAGATGCGGATCTGCCCCCAGCCCTTGGCGATCAGCGCGTCGATCGTCGTGCCGTAGACGTACTCCCGGAACCCGGCCCACCGGATCGCCGACGCGCACATGGGGCAGCTCTCGGCGTTGGTGTAGAGTGTTAGCGAGGCGAAGGCGGAGAGCGCCTCGCTGGGCGATAGCTTGTACGGCCCTTGCGGGTCGGTTAAGACCCGCGTGCAGTTGTTGATCGCCGCGATCTCTCCTACAGCCGATGAGCTTCCCGTGTCATAGAAAACAGCATTACGAAGGTTTCTTACCATGGAGTATTGGGTTCCCAGTCGCGCTTCTGTTATTTGCACCTGTGCACACCAGTTCCCCGAGCCCCGAGCTATCCGTGTGGTTCACGATCACAGTTCCAAATGCGCCGTAGGGACACGGGTGGCCGAGAGCTACGTTGGCTTGTCGCATCCAGAACGCTCTCGTGCTGAAAGGAACACCGTTGATGGCTAATGTCGGCTCGCCGATAGTTGTCTGGTCTGTTCTCGGATGGAGATGGCGCCCGTACTCGTGACCGAGCACTAAGCGACCAGAGCCGAAGACGAAAATCGTCCGAAGAAGTGATAGGAACCTCATTATGACCAACTATTTAATACCTAAACATGCCTGGAGTCTCAAAATGGTCGATGTTTGGAAGCATCTCGGTGAATAAGACGTGGTGATTCACCAAGAGTGACTAGATGGGCACAAGTCATATATACCTAGGTAGGTACACTAGAAGCAGACGTCACACTATTCGAACACCAACCACCTCTATTTCAGCAATGTATTTAGACTATGAAAGAAGATCATCGCCATGGCTCTTTTCGCTAGAACGAATTCATTATCGTCTCGATGGAGAACCCCGGCGCGCACCTTGACGCTCTAACGAGTTATCGCCAAGGATCCAGTGACTCGTATCAACGGCCACCTCCGACGCAGATAACAGACATGCATGTTGGCGATACCTCATATCAAGGCCGACAATCATGGATTATATCAATCTTCTCTTTTATCACAGGGAACCACTCTTTCTAAATCCAAAGTGTAAATTCGTAGCATATTAGTTCGATTCATTAAAATAGAACGAAATCGGCGCCAAGATGTCTCCTAGTGCTATTGACCCAGAGGCGACCTTCACTATTACGCCCGTGAAGAAAGCATCCAGTGAGAAGCATAATTATGGTGCAATTGTCAATGGTCTAGATCTGAATGATATTAGTGGTGAGTAGATATTCTATAAGCATCGCGAGTTCCTATATTCAAATTTCCTCAGATGCGGATGTCCGCCACCTATCCGACGCCATCTGGACTCACAAAGTCATTGTGGTTAAGGGGCAAAAAGACCTCCCGCCAGCAAAGCAGTGGGAGCTTGTAACGCGCTTCGATCCCAGCGCACAACAGGTTCATTCCCATGGAGATATAAAGACTTTCAACAGCAAGGGTGGACTGCTTTCTGTAAGTAACCCCAGTTCTCCTGGATCCAGACCGGTAAATCCTAACAACAAAGCCAGAAAGCTCGTGAAGTCGTAGGAATACCAGGTGCCGAGAACGTCCGTCTAATCGGAAAGGGTTTCCAAGGAGAAGACCACTATGGCATCAAAAACAAGACCATCACCAAACCGCTCTCCCACGACTGGCACTACAAGGAATTGCCGCAGGAAGAATTCAACGCAGGCAACGTTCGATTTCAGCGCTGGCATATGGACGCACCCCTATATGGAAGAGACCCAGCATGGTTTACCACCCTGCGTTGCATAAAGCGGCCCACTCAGCCCGAAGTCAACATCCGCTGGGATGACGGCTCCGGTCTTAGCATGAAGGCAAAACCCGGTTTGACGGCCTTCATCAGCAATGTCCAGATGTACGATTTGATGACGGAAGACGAGAAAAGGATGGCTGATTACAGCTGGGTCGAATATGCACCTCATCCCGTATGTGAAATCAGCTATAGCCTGCACAACAAAAGTGAATGCTAATGTGCGTTATGGATAGTATATGTGGATAGGTGACTGCAAAGGAAACGCCAACGGCCTCGGCCTAGTAATTCAAGGCAAAGAAAAGAAGCTCGAGGACCTCGGTGACTTCGACCCGAAGGACGTGAAGACATATCCCATGGTCTGGGTGAATCCCGTAACCGGCGAGAAAGCATTTCAAGTCCACGGGATCTGCGCGAGGAAGCTATTCGTCCGCTCGTCCCCGACAGAAGAACCTCGGGTGATCGAAGACGTCATGGAGATTAGAAAGTTGCTGAAACCTATTCAAGAAAGAGTGTTGAAGCCGGAGTATATCTTTATTCCAAGTCTAGAAGAAGGGGATATCGTCATGTGGGCCAACTACCAGATGTTTCACACAGCTATCGACTATCCCGAATCGTACGGGCCACGGACTATGCATCAAGCCAACATCGCTTCGTCCGCTCCCCCGGTGGGACCAAATCCAATCCCAAGCGCTGCTTGAGTTTGGCCTTAAGGCGCATTGGAGCATTGAAGCGTTGGGATAATGGCGGACTACTTGACCTTGTAATCTAAGAATATAGGTAATCATGATAGCCAGTTGAGGTTATAGGAGCCCGAACAGAAGAAATATCAAGAAGTAATCGTAACTCTGTGGGGTTTATCAAGGCGATATGGGAACAGGGAAGGGACATCGATTGGTATTCTTGGTATGGCCTCTGCGCCTCATATTTTATGTGCAAGCTCATCTGCTAGCCGTTTGATATAGAAGTTCTGCATATCAAGAGGCAATTTACTAAAGCCGTTAGCGATACGCGCAACATCTTGTCGACCTTTTTCATACTAGAACAACTTGAGTTAGCAATCATCATTCGCGAATATTTCAAGAATGTAGAACTGTCAGGCCCATATATGACCATGCCCATCGAAAGGGCCACTGACAGTGACCTTATTCCATGCTGCTCAGATAACGGGGACAATGAACAATACTTACAGCTGCCAGATCTCGATTTCCATACACGTCTCTTCCAGATGAGTAGCCGTTCTCTAGATTGCGGAAGAAGATATTGACAGCAATGCCCAAGTTGCTTAACGGGGCTGCAGTATGCATCCATAGGGGTGGGAGGAATAATATGTCGCCTGGCTGTAGTACTGCTTCATGTGGATGAGTTCCTACCAAAGATGGCCCTTGAAGATTAGAAAACACATCAATGCTCGAGCTTGACGAGCCCGGGGCAAATGATAGTCGGTTGACATCTGATGGCGGGAATAAGATGAACCTCTTTGAACCCGTTATTTGGCAATATACATTTGCCATAACCTGCCATACTGTCAGTTAACCAGCAAATGATCGGAACTACAGATTCCCTTACATCGTAATGTAGCCACATGTTAACTGGCCCAGTTATTCGTAGTACGGAGCTGAACTCGTTCTCTGCGACAAATGACAATGCGTCAGGAAGCTGGAAATCAGCAGCTAACTGAGGGAAATCCGCCTTAATATTGGCTGGCTGGTCAGATGGACGATCCTCCGATAGGGCACGAAGATACAATTTGTGCCCGTTTTCAATCTCGTTCATCATGTCTCCAAACTTTTTCGTGACATAGGCGAAATTCTTGCTGTTGAAGTCCATCTTAGAAGTATTGGCTTCGTGAACGACCACCTAATGACTTGATTAAACCGGAAGGGATGAGCAGCTAGGGTGGAATAGTTACCTCTCTATCGAAACCAAGTTGTTGAACGATGTGGTCTGAGGACCAGGTCTTGATACAGTTTCCTAAGTCGCCTGATTCAATGATTACAGGCTTACCAGCTTTTAGTACCGCTAAGAACGCGTCCGCCGTACTAATCTGGAGCCTTGGTATATCGACTGTAAGCGCTCCCTGCCCGTTACATGGAGCAATCGAGCCACTTTGGCTTTCTGTCGCCTCTGTGACTTCGACGACTCTCGAGAATGTCCATTTTCTGTCATTACTAGATGTTGTTGCTGATCCATGGACAGGACTGTTGGGATTATATCCTAGCGTATAACAGACCGAATTCCAATACGTTCCCATTGAGAAACATGTAGCACCACCACCCATGACAACCAATTGTCCATCAACCAACTCTGTCGACACGCCTATGAGTAAAGGCCGAGGGGGGACCGCTATACGACAAGCTGAGATGATTTCATAACTTGTGCCAGAGATGTCGATAACGAGGATGTCAAGATCTCGCATGACTATACCATCCGCGACAATGCCCCCTATCACACTCAGATATCCTTCATGGGAAACAAACCCAGAGGCACCAAAGCGGCTGATTAGCTCATCATGGTTGTTGGTAGTATCCATAACTTCGGCAGAAGAATCGATGCGCTCTGGCAGAGTTGTGAATGAAATTGTGGGCTTGCCATTTTTCGGAAGCGTCAGGATCCATCGTAAGATTTGTCTAGCAATGGTTCCATGCTGAAGTATACCGCCTGCTAACACGCCGTAAAATTGAACGCCATCATTCGCCACGGAATGATATGTTTCCTGGTGGCTAATAAGCAGGCTACCAAAGGCTGGTATGTATTTAGTCTCTGAGATCTCGCACTCGATCCAGCCGGAGCTCGGCTGATATAAGAGACACCCATCAAAGATGGTTGACGAATCGGATTTACCTCCAATTAAGAGAGCCAAACTGGAGCCACCAAGCCTGGTTATCCCATGGCGGTATAAGGGTAATGGTAGGTCTTCCGCTCGTTGCCATTCGTTAGTTCCTTTTTTAAAGAGCCAACAGTCTCGTAGAGCACTTGACGGTGAAGTCCTGCCACCTACGA